GGGGGCGGGCAGGGACTACATGACCGACAGATGGGCCAGGGCTCTGTGCAGCCTGGGGATGAGGGTGAATGTTGGACTCATTTTGGCATAATAAGCAAAATCACTTTCCAAAATGGCAAGTGCTGGAAAGATACCAGCACTGGATGACCTATGGAAGAGCTGTTTCATGTGAGGTGGTTAAGAAAAGCTTCCTGGAGGAGGTGACCCTTAGGCAGCGGCCTGTGTAGTACTGGAAAGGGAAGGTTGCCCTCGCAGTGCCAGGGATGAGTCAGGGCAGAAGTAGTGTGAAGTGGACAGCTTTGGGGATACATTTTGGAGTCTGTCTACTAATCTGACCAGTAGCTTCTACTGCACCAAGAATCAACTTGAGAGCACAGGTCCCTAATGTCTTGTACTGGTTCTCATGCGAGATGGGCCCACAGCCCTCCTGGAAGGGAAAAGGATACCCTCTGACTGCCCCAACCTGCTGGGTGTCAGGGTCTTCCCTACTATGTCATATAATGCTGCTGCCACCTGGCAGTGTCATAAGGCACTGTATAACTGCTTCCTGCTACAGATGGACAGATGCGCAGGGTCTTGAGCAAGGGAGGGTGGAGTAGGATGGAAACCTGGCCTATGACTCCATTCCAGAGCTTGCCTGGTTGCCACACAACCCAACAATCCAATGAGAGGTTATCAAATACACAGCAGCCTGGGGAATCTCAGATCACACAGAAGGGTTCCTCCCACAGTATGGAGCTTGCTACCGACCTTGGCCCTGCCACGGACAGCCTCATGACTTTGGTCACCCTCCACTTCACTTGAGACTGCAATGGAGGTGGACATCACTCCTTTCAGGGTGACAAGGACAGTGTGAGGTGACCTATGAGAAAGAACTGTCTCACTGAAGGCCGCATGGTAGGAGGGAGTGACGTATGGAGGCAATGCCTGGCCTAGCCCTGGCTCCCCTGTGCCATGACCAGGGACACCATGTTGGCCACACGTGATGGAAAAGCAGAACCCAACAGAGAAATGGGCAAAAGGCAAGAACAGGCAGCTCAGGGACAAGCTGATAGAAGAGCTTTCAACCCCTTCAGTTCTCAGAGAAATGAAGTCCAAGTAATATGATTTTGATTTGCATGTTCCACTTATTTAGCTGGGCAAGGATGCAGAGACCTGGCCCATCCTGCACTGGGCAGGCCATACAGTAGCAGCAGCAGCAGCATACTGGGACAGTAGGTGTGGAACCCTGCACAATCACCATTGAATGTAATGAAAATGAAATGATTCACTCTTGGGTGATATAATCAGATGACAAATTAAACATAAACCAGCAAGAGAACAGGAATCCTAGATTCAGGAGAGAGAATATTTGGCCATTAGGGTGGCCCTCCATATAATGAGTGTCCTTACAAAGAGGATGCTAGGATAGAGACACCAGGATCAAACATGCAAAGGAAAGATCACATGAGGATACAGTGAAGAAACAGCTCTGTGCAAGCCACAGGCAGACACCTCAGAGAAGCCATCCCTGCCAGCACCTTGGTCTCAGGCCTTCAGCCTCTGGAACTGTGGGAATCAATGCCCATTGTTTGGGCCCCAGCCTTGGTACTTTGTCATGGTAGCCTGAGCAGGACCAGATACAGATTATCAGTCCTCTGCCCTGAGAGTCAGTCTAGATGAGGTTCCCAGACCTGGCCCAAAAAGCCTGCTGCCCTTGGCCACTGTGGTTGATTTGGGAAGGACACATAACCAAAGGTCAAGCCTGTGAACTAGTCCAGCAGACTGAGTGCCAGGCTTCTGCAGGTGCTATCAGAGAAAGGCCATGGCCCTCTCCTGCTGGACTGGAGCCTGGAAGCTGTCGTTCTGGGCTGTAACAATCATTTTGCTGCCCCAGGAGGTGGGCTGGGAGTTGCTGGAAGGCAGCACCACCCCTTGGCTTTCAGGTTCTCTAGAAACGATTAATGGCCCTTTCACCAGGGTTGGCTCAGACTGGGTTTGTTTCTTGTATCCACAAGGTCTCTTCCTATTCTCTTCTTCTCAGATGTACATGGGAAAACCCAGAACATTCAGCAGGGGAGCCAGAGCCAGAGCCAGAGGCAGAGCCAGAGCCAGAGCCAGAGCCAGAGCACAGAAAGAGCTGAGTACCTGAGTGGAGGGAAAGGTGGTGGTAAGAGGGAGCCTTCAGGTCTCAAAGGATGGAGAACCTGTGTCAGGGGTTAGCTTCTCTCCCCACATCCATTTTCTTCTTTCTCCTCAGTCTCAAAAACTCACCTGGTCTCATGGCTGCTCTGAAGACTATATTTCCCAGCTTCCCTTGCAGCTGGATGTGGCCATGTGACTGGGTTCTGGCCAATGGGATGTGATCAAATGTGTGGGATGGAGTTTCTGGGCAGACTTCAAGGGCCCAGTGATAGCTCCAGAAGTCAATGACCACAGCCCTGATCCTCACCCTATAAGGCAGCCCCTAATTAGCTGAGCTCTCAGCAGAACAGATAACCTGGGGGAGGGGTGTGTGAAAGCACAGATGGGGAGCCAGGTAACCCCCAATTTGAGCATCTTGTCCTGGAATAGGATACTCGCTTATATGTGAGAAAAGCAAACATCAGAGGGGAAGGAACTCCTCAGACTGTTGGGATCCCAATGTCACCATCACCTCCCAGTAGCCAGAGTGCTATTGCCAATCTGAAGCAGGATCCTGTCACTCCCCTGCCCTCTCCCCTTGGATTTTCTCCTGTCACACAAATGGAAGTCCAGACCGCCGCTGCTCCAGTATGACAGTGCCACATGGCTAGCTCCTGGCTCCCAGCACCTCCGCTGCTGCTTCCTCCCCCAGTGTACTGTATTCGCCTCAAGTCCTCTGCACGCACTGTTCCCTCTGACTGCAGGCTGCTCCCCCAGTCCTGTCCCAGCTCCGTCCCTCCTGAACCCAGAGACTTTCCCCATCACACACTGGAACAGAGCCTGCAGCCACAGTGGGCACACAAGAAATAGTGGTGAATGCATGAGCAGATTGGTCAGCGATAAAGTTTGTATCCACCCTCTAGTTAATTGTCCAGATTTGCTATCAGACTGAATCTTACGAAGTCACCATTTGGGTGGGTCATTCAGCATTGGATAGCTGCCATTTCACACAGTTTGAGCTGTACTTCGGCAGTCATGCCCATACTCAAAATCCCCCATCAGCTCCTGCCACCTAGAAATCCAGCCTTCTTCAGCTGAGCTCACATGCCACCCACACCTGCCAGGGTCCCCAACCATCACCATTTCCTGGGGTTCCTTAGGCACCTCTTGAGGGTTGAATTCCTGAGGTCACTTCTACCTGCTCTGGCCACAAGCCCCTGCTAACCCCTGGTGTGTACTGTGGTGGTAGGGGCTGTCCTCCTCCTCAGCCTGATCGAGTGGCTCATTCCACAACTACGTCAGCTCCACTGTCCCGGGCCCACTGCCCCGCACCACAGCCCAGCACTGTTCCCTGTGGCCCATGCACTGGCCACTCCCATTCCCAGCCTGAATGAACCCAGTCCCGGGAGAACTGCTACTTGCTTCTTACAACTTTGGGAAAGTCCCTTCTAAGCTTCAGTTTCCTCATCTGTGCTACTGCACATATCAGCAAAGCCAAGACACATAAAATAATGCCAGAGCCCAGGCCTGGGCCCCAGGAATGGGAGATTTGAGCAGGAGGAGGTAGACAGGTGACAAGCAAGGAGGGGCTCGGGAGAATCATTTGGGAGATGCTGGGAGGGAGAGACATATTCGAGAGACAGGGACTCGGGTCATGACGGGAGTACAAAAGCCCTAAGCCCCAAAGCAGAAGCCTGTGTGGTATGTCTGGGACAGAGGACGGGGGTGAGTGAGCAAGCGACTGAGACCATGGGAGAGATGGGGCCAGAGGTCAGCAGCGGCCAGAGGAGCAGCTGGGACTTCGTTCTGCTGGGAGGGCGCCGCCAAAGGATTTAGGCAGGGTGGCAGCAAGACCTGATTTCCATTTAAAAAGCATCTGCTGCCTGCTGGCAGCAGAAATGTCTTCAGAATGGCCAGAGGCTGCAAGGAGATGGGGTTGGGCAGCCTGGGGCGGCCTGGGAGCCCAGAGGTGACAGCAGCGTGACCCGAGGGGAAAGCACTGAGCTGGAGCAGGTGGCTAGAGGGGGGTGGAACTTTTCAATCACCCCCACCCCCGGAGTTGGCAGTGGCTCCAGGGTGGCTTTGCAGCAGCGGAGCTGCAAGGCTGAGCCCTCAGGCTGAAGGCTGATCTGACCTGCAGGGAAGTTTGGGTGGAAGTGAGCCTGGCGCAGTCTTGGGCCCCCACCTGGCCTTCTGTCCCTGAGCTGGGCTTCCTGGAGACCAGCATCTTTCTCTACCCGCTTCCCAGCAGAAATTTCTCAGAGGTTGAATGTGCGGTTCAGCTCTCTGCATCTGTCTCTGCATGTGCGCCTGCACGCCTGCCTATCTGCACATACCATTCCGAAAACACAAGGGTTGCAAAATCAGAAGCTCCCAGGGTCAGGCGCACCATGTCATGGGATTGTGCAAGCCCGGCCGGGCAGCAGTAAGGAGTGGTGGGGTCTGTGGCCTCCAAGGGCGGCCTCTGCTTCACCTACAGGACTCCGGGTTCTCAGCTCCAGCCTATCCACCACCACGTGGGCAAGTGGGCATGTGTCAGCTCTCAACAGACCTGCTATTTTTCCAAAGAAGCTAGAAATGCATATTTTAGGTGAAACAGCTCATTTTAAAATGTGGGCTTCTGTTTAAAACTGCACTCTAATAGACCAGTGACCATTTCCGCTGCTGCTGATGGCTTGCAACTTTGCCCTTAAGCGGGTGGGGGTGTGTGGCTTCAAACCAGAGTCCCGGCCTCCGCGAGGAGGTCTGAGCGCAAGTCCTTGCACCTGTAGAGTCCTCTATTGAGGGGCATTCGTGAAGGGGGTGTGCCCTGGGAGTGGTCTCAGCGGGTTCCCGAGGGTATGCTGGTCTCCCCAAGCCGGGCAGACCCTGTCTGGGGCGTGTGGGTGAGCACCTACCCACTTTGAGCTCCTTGCCGAAGACGGTGCGCTCCCCCAGCGCGGAGCAGTTCCAGCGGCCGTTTCGGAACTGAAACTGACACTCGTCCAGGCCCATTTGTGAGCCTTCTCCTATCACGATGATGGCGTCGGGCCGGCTCTGGCAGATCGCCCGCTGTCTGGGAGCCAGGCCCGGGATCTTGTTACAGATGATGCTTGCGCCCAGAGCTACCACCGAGGAGAAGCCGCTGGAGGGGGGTACAGAGAGACAGAGGTTGAGACTCAGGGGAAAGTGGCTGGCTGGCAGGTGCTGGAGGTGGCAGGGCCCCTTCTCAGCCACTGCCACCGATGACCCTATCACCATGATGCTGGAGGTGTCCGAGGAAAGGGCACCATGGGACCATGGAGTACATATATTTTGGCTTCCAGTCAGCATGAACCTTAGAACACTAGCTGAGCACCAGGATTTCTACTCCAGCAGACAGTGTGGATACACATTGGTGCCCAAACGCAGAGGAACAAGAGGTCAGCACCTACAGGGAGCTGGCCAGGTGGCCTTCTGAACTGTCTTCACTTTCTGGCTGTGTGACCTCAGGCAAGACACAGCCCTCTCTGTGCTTCAGATTTTCCACCCTAAAATGAAGAATGTGAATATCTAGCCCTCGACTTCTGGGGCTTCTGTGAAAATTAAATGTATAAGAACATGAAGATGCTTAGGAGGTGACAGGCACCTGTGAGAGTACCCAGTCAACGTGCTGTAGGTACTAATGCTTGTGGGTCCGAGGTGGCAGAGGAACTATCCAGTGGGATAACCTCACTGGAAGCAGGGAGGGATTGGTGCTGTCCTGGGACTGGAAGGCCTCCCAGGGACTCCTTGTGCCCACTTTACAGATGGACAACCTATGGCCTGGTGAGTGGCCCAGAGTCACCATGCAACTCTCTTACTGAACGCTGACCTCTTTCCCTCCCTCCTTCTCTCCCTCCTCTCTTGGCCCCCCCAGAGGGCTGGCCTCTGCAGGCCTAGAGGCCAGGGCTGGGGAGAGGGGTCAGGCATGGGGCTGTCCGGCAGGCTGGTGGGGCAGGCAGGGGAGGTTATTTTTTGCTGTTTTTCCTTTCACTCTCCCCTCCCCAATGTCTCCGCCCCCTTGCTAATTAAAAAAGGAGATAATGCAGCCTGCAGCCAGAACCGATGGGCCAACCTGCTTCCTGGATGCTGGGTGAGCTCCAGGTGGCGGGGCGCGGGCCAAGATCAAGATTAAAGCAGGGAAAAAGAAAAGCCACGCAGACGCGGGCAAATCAATAACACTTAAACTCCTCGGCAGGCCGGCAGGCCGGCAGGCAGCGCGCCCCCGCAGCCTCTCTGCTGGCCGGCTGGTGGCTTCCTGGCCCTTTCTGTGCGCACCTGCTCGTATCCAGGGCGCCTCCACTCCCGAAATCCACGCTCCAGATATCGTGGGGCACGGAAGTGCGAACAGGGGTGGCAGTGACAAAACAAAGGATCTGCCACGCACACCCTCTCACGGCCCCTGCGGCCCCGCCTTCCCCTAAGCAGCGGTGGCAGGTTCACTGCGGGGGGCTAGAGGGGCAGGTCTCCAAACTGCCAAGGTGGCCCTTGGCGCCAGCACCTCTGTCCTCGTTAAAGCCCCCGCAGCCCCACGTCTCTATGCCTAGCACACAGCTCCTGCGCACAAAGGGAGGCTGGCTGTGCACACGCGCGCAGGACGCGTCCCAAGCCACCCTCCGCGCTCCAGCCAGAGTGCCCAGGCCACCCCAGGGGTAGGCAGGGCGCAGCCTGAGGCTTCTCAGTTCTGGGCGCGGGGTCCGCGGGGTGTGCGAGTTCCTCGCTCTGGGTATTGCCGACTTTCCCTCTGCGAGTGTTGTTGAGGATGGCAGCGGCTGCATCCTCCGCTTGGAAAGGGCTCTGGAGTGCCAGGGTCCCTGGATATTGTGTGGTATCTGCTCTGAGGGGCCGTTGGCTTTGCCTGGGACCATCCCCGCCTCTGGACACCTGTCCCCTGTCTCCGCGGCTGCCCGCCTGCCGCTCGGGCACTGTCCTGTCGCTAGGAGAGGCCGAGCCCAGTACCTAGGGCCCTGGGAACACGGATTCCAGCAAGCGGCTGCGGTCCCAGCTCAGGGGTCCCGCTGGATCTACTTATGCCCCCACTGTCTGTAGGGTCCCGGGGAAAGCGACCCATGGCTCCAGCCTATCCTCTCTAGAGTCCTGGGCTGGGGCACCCCTAATGCTGCCCCGGTTTCTGGGGGCGTCGTTGGGAGTGGATCTCTTGCCCGCGTCCGTCCGCTGTGCGCGCCCTGGGCAGTGGCTCGCGGGGCTTCTGTGCGCCTCCCTCCCCGCGCGCCCCGCACCTCAGCGGGCTCGGAAGTTGGTGGCCGCGGGCTGCGCGTCTCCCTCCCAGGCGGGTCAACTTCTCTGAGCCCCGCGGGGCGCTTACCCGATCCGGAGGTAGACCATGCCCAGGCTGAGGAAGAGGTGGCCCAGGCAGCGTCGCGCCTTCCGGGTCATAGTCCCCGCTGGTGGTCGGGGCCGCGGGCCGGGCGTCGCTGATCCCGGGGGCCGGCCCCGGCGGCGCAATCCGCATAGCCCGCCCGGGGCTCGGG